GGTCAGCGCAACAAATTTTCCAGTATGTCCGCCCAATCGAATTCCTTGATCACGGTGTCAATGCGTGCTTTCTTCCTAGCATTTTTGGATGGGCGGGTTAATCAAGAGTCCGAGAAGAAGAATATCACTCATTGGGTCGAACTGTTCAACAAATCCTGTGCCTTTGAGCGCAACTTTTGGAACGCAGCTCTCGAGCATAAAATTTGAGTGGGAGTCCGGGCCTCGAGACTCCCAACAACCGTACATCTATCCTCATCTCTAGTGATCTGTTCTATTATGAAAATAGGCAAGTTCGATTGCACAGGAGTGGATACTCAATCATGAAGTAATATATGGTACACAACAGCCAACAGCAATGCTATGTTAAGCACCTTTTCAGTTCCAGCTTGCTAGGCTAGCGGAATTTCAGGGGTGTGCGGTTCACATTCAATTTGCCTCGCTTCGATCGTGTGAGATGTGTTGTGAATGTATGCAAAAGATAAAATAGCTGGCAGTGCGTGCAAGCCAACACCTCTTTTATTTTCCCGACACCGAGCACCCTTCACACAAGCCCTTGTTCCTGTTCTTCAACCTTTCATCAACTGACAAGGGCTTTGATTATTCGTCGTGATTGCATCCTTTCCAGTCTATTTAGGCCGCAGCGAGCCAGCGAGTCCCCCAGACAACTCTTTAGTTATTATTAAACTGGTTGATCCCGGGCCGCCCTACTGAGTAGAAAAAAACGGATACAGGTCACATCATGCCATGATGGTGCACCGCATGTTCGTTGACTTTCAATTCCGAACTGCATGGATTCTACTAGCGCACACGAACTTCAAGGTTCCCGAGTTTCTGCTTTAATCGCTAGGATTGACGCGGTATTAGACGATGTGTACCTATATAGACGCCTGGTAGCATGCCAAACACCGTTGAACACCTTGCTAGGATGATGCCTAATGATATTCGGCAGATACCCTGAGGAGCATCAATGCTCACCCCAGAGACATTTCGTCGCCAAATATCTGCAGCATACGAGGTTTTAGCGTTCGATCTCATTTTGGACAATACACCATATACTGAGGATGCTGATCCCTCAACACAGTTGAGCTGGGAGAGGTTGATGGTTTCATTGTCTGATACATCCTCCATGGCTAGCCTGAGGCTGATGGACCAGCGCATGACCATGGACAAGCTGCAGCGCATTACCGTGGACGTGCTGGAGGGCATGACCGGGGACGAGCTGCACCCCGAAACTCAACTCATGACGGACCAGCTGCAGCATCAGACACTGCTCAGGGCACGCCAGACACTGCTCAGGACAGACCAGACACGGCTCAGGACAGACCAGACAC